TGAAGAAGGCTGAATCTTAATTTTCTGGGTATTAACCACATGATATGCTATACTGTTTATTGCTTTGGCTGCACCAATTATGCCAGGCATGAAGGAAACTGAAGTCATGGGGTTGGCGTGTCTTTTCTTACCTTTTCCTTTGTATATATCTTTTTATATTTGTAGTGAATTGAAAACTGTCAGTGTATTGTGAGATGTGATTTAATATGTATGATTCTTTGCGTGAAGCATGTAGTACTTTGAAGCTAGTCAGTGGAGTCAGTGTAGAACTATGTGAAGTAGTTCTTCCATTAAAATGTCAACTATGATGTATAGCATATCATGCCCTTTGAATGTACGAGCCTAGATGCATTGGTTTTCTGTCAAATTTCAGCGTTACTTGCATTGAATTATTTTCCATATTATTTTCAATTATAAAATAATTGCAATCTCTCTAATATGTGCTTCTGGTTGTTAAATTAAAAAAGTAGGGAGTACCTGGTGATATCCTAGAACCAATTGTAGGCAATTGAGTCGTACTTGCAAACCTTGATGCTTGGAAGCCAAATGATATTAGGTGTGGAAACTGTATTTTTTTTTTCTGTTAGGTATTGTGATATGATTTTGTTTTCTGCCTTTACTTTTGAAACTGATATTTCTAAATGCATGCAGCTTGTGGACCTCAAATTGGCATTGAATAGCCAATAAGGATGAAAATGGCCATTGGAGTCTGCCAATGTTTACTAATTGATGAGCAGAGAAATTCACATTTCACAGAATTTCGTATTAGAAGGCTAATGACAACTTCTGCCAACACCAACATCATTGCCACCGAGGGAAGTTTTTTTTTTTTTAGGCTAATTTTATTTTGTGCACTAAATATATGAAAGAGGGATGCCATTTATGGCATGAATTTTTTCCTGATAGCAAATTTGGAGGAGGAAAAATTAACAAAGTGTTACAAAAATTATTTATATTTATATTTATAGGGGATGAAATTTTAATATTTCATAACAATATGTATTATGGATTCATCACCAGCTGCTAGGCCTGAACTTGAACTAGTTTTATAGCAGTTATAAGCCCCTTATTCTGTGACTGCAAATTTGATGTGAATACATAATGTTTATGTGACTGCATATTTTATGTACAACGACATTGATGGTTGTATCTGCATTTATAAGCCCCTAATTTTGTTATTTTCTCCAAACATTGAAACTTACAAATATACTGGATATATTTTTTGCTTCTGGTTCATTGACCTTGGGTTAATAAATCAATTACAAGTTACTAACCACAACCATATTAATTGGTTTTTAACCTATCGTGGTTGGTGGGGACTATGAGAAATCATTGTGGTTATAAATGTAGTACTTCACAATTAAAATCCAAATACAATTACACTCGACTATGGGAGTATGTCAAATTATAAAGATAAACAAAATTTCTCCATTACATCTTTGGATAAAAGAATCAAATCCAAGTTTGTACAAGTAAAAAAGGTTATTTTGGTAATTGTAACTTATTTTCTCATCAATATTTTACCTCAAACCAAACATAGACTTTATAAAATTTACCTAATTTTCTCGGTAAATTTTTTCTCAACCAAACAACTTTTTTTACATTTTCCTACCAAACTCACTTTCTAACCATTTCCCTAGTATTCAAAATTTTTCTCCTCAACCAAACGCCCCCTAAACTGTAAATGAAAATTCCATTCAAAATACCATAGGATGGTATTCTTGAATTATTGGGAAACTAGAAAAAAAGTAGGTGAAAAAATTTACAAGAATTAATAAACTTATCCAATATTCCCGGTATTATTTTTTACCTACCAAATACTTTTTTGGTAATATTTCTAGAAAACTCACTTTCTCACCATATTTTTAGGAATCATGATTTCCGGATAAAAAAAAATTCTCCTTTACCAAATACACTCTTATATCACATGAAAAGAAAATTGTTTTAGGCATTCATTGATGTAATCATTGTTGTCAAAAATTAGTCTAAAATCGTAAAAATTGTAGAAACGCAGTGTAAAAACGTGTTAAAACGCAAGTACAAATGGTTCTTAGTAAAAACAGATAAAAGTGTCACGTAGAAACGTAAGTTTTTGAGTTTTTACTTAAACTCAATTTTTTTAATCTTTTAATTTTTTAAATACCTTATTTTTCAGTTTTTTTAAACTCAATTTTCTTTTTATGTTTTCAGACTTATTTCTTATATAGTTACATGACTTATATCTTTTACATATGAAATTATTCATTAAATTTTGAGTAGTGGTGACTTATGTGATTATATATATATATATTAGTGGTGTAAATGGGCCAGGCTGGGTCGGGCTTTGGCCTTCCTGGCTAAGCCTACATAAAAAAATATTCAGCCTATCTGGCCTATTGGCCTACTAAAGACTTTATTTATAGGCTAAGCGTGGCCTATTTTTAAAAATTAGAGAGCTTTATATGGCCTACAGGCCTTGTAGGCCTCCCTTGTGATATATTTTTAAAAATTTAAAAAAAAAAATTAACAATTTTTAAAATATTCGCTTGACATTACAAGTCATTAACATGTTCATAAATTGCTGCATTTTTTTACACGAGATATAAATTTCTCTGGTGAGCATTAAAAATTTTACAATAGTAAAAAAATAACTATAAAAATATGTTGAGCAAAGTTCCACAAAGACGAAGCTCAGAGAAGGGAGAAGCGGCGTTGTACAAAATAATTTAGGGTTGGTACTGATTGCCACCTAAAATAAATATACTATTTTATTTTATTTTAAAAAATTAAATAGGTCAGCCTACAAGGCTTTAGTCCAGGCTTGACAAAATTGGCCTATGGCCTACTTGTTAAAAAAACTTTCTTATAAGCCTAAGCCTATTCTACTTTTCAACATAGGCCTAGCTAGGTCAGACTCAACGTAGGTTGGGCTGTAGGCTAGGCTAGGCCAGCCTGATCCATTTATACCCTTAATATATATAATTTTATATCTTGATCTTAAGTAATAAAAATTTTACGTTTCATATTTCTACAATTCATGTTTTTATCATCCTTCTGTTTCTATATAAAAACTCAATTCACAACATTGGATATAATCATTGAATTTGAGAACGTAAGGTATATCGTAGCGCGATACACTTGCCTTTTGAACTAAATTCAATTCGTTTTACAAGATGATAAATCGATAATTCTAAGCAAAGTTCTTTCAACTAATGTGTCAATTCCAAATATTTTATTAATGTATAAGTTGAAAAAGTTGAATAAATGTTATTAATATTGATATTGGATAAATGGGAAGAATCACTTTTTTTCCTCTTTAGAATAAAAATATATTTTTTACTTGAAAAAGAAATAAAGAACGGTTTTTGTTTAAATTTATATTTTTATAATGTTTTTATAAAACCAAAGATAAAGACAACGGTCATACGACTCACACCTAAAATCTCCATTTTTTTTTTTGGTATCCTAAAATCTCCATTATTTAAATACAAGAAATATGAACAAATCTAAAGACCCAAGCTTTATCATTAAACGATTTCTTTTTAGAAACACTTTATCATTAAAAAGTTAATCGAGCAGTACGCAGAATACGACACTGTTTTCCGTTAATAATATCAATAAATATTTTTTGAAACCATATATCTACCGACATTGGATGTCTCATTCGCAAGCTAACGTTATAATCGTTGAAACAATTAATCCCTAACGTGAATAGCACATGTGATGCACATTAATCCAGATCTTAATTTTATTTTTTTAATCTTTAATCTCAGTTACTCTTTCCTTTTCCATCCCACAAGCCGAAATGATGTCTAGATAGTAGATACAGAAAAGTTATGCTTGTAGCTGTCATTTCATTTGCCTCTTTAGAAGAATTATTTTGGCATTTGTTGATTTTTAACTGTTACAATAATTAAATAACTTTAACATTTTTTCATAACTTAAACAATTAATTTAAAAAATTAATAAATTATATCATAAAAATATTTTTCATAAATGTTTATATTATATATAATTAATTTTTTTTTTCAAAATATATTAGAAATATTTTTTTTCCTAAATTCTTGTGTTTGACATTAACATATCTTTAGTAGGGGTGTCAAAACGGGTCGACACGACACAAATTCGACACGAATACATCAATACTAACACGACACGATTTTTTATTCGTGTAAAAATCTTCAACACTGACATGACACGAATTTTTTGCGAGTTGACACGACACGACACGAATAACACGCAAAATAAGGGTCAAAATAGTAATTGACAAAAAAATTAAAAAAATGGATCGATAATAAAAAAATTAAAAAAATAATAATAAAAAATTAAAAATAAAAAATACGGGTCGAAACGAACACGAATACATCAACACGAACACGACACGAATTTTTTTGCGGGTCAACCCGAACACGAATTTTCGTGTCGTATTGCGGGTCGACCCGCGTGTCAAAACCTATATTGACACCCCTAATCTTTAGGGGTTAAGATATTTTGACTATCAATTTTTCTATTACCACTCCACTACCATTCTAATCACCATTGGATTAGTGAAAAAGTTGAATGAAGAGAGAGAAATAAAAATAACTTTTAATCCAAGGGTGATTAAAGTGGTAGTAGAAAAAATTAGTAGTCAAAATATTCTACCTCTGTCTTTAGACTAGTTTATTAAAAAAAATATCATTTACATCAATTCAAAGAAATTATGGAAATAATTTTTTTTGTACTTTTTTTTAAAAAAAGTTAAAGTCAAAACATTAAATAAAAATAACTTAAACATATTCTTTAAATTTAATTTTAAAAATATAAATAGTTATAATTTTTATTTTTATTTTACGAAACAAACCCTATTAAATGAAATTTTTTTTCTAAATATCAAAAAATTATTTATTAAAATAATATTCAAACTGGGCCTATAAGTTCGATACGAAGTGTTTAGGGATAACCCTACGAGATTCAAATCGGATTAATTAAATGATTAAATTTTTTTTAATAAGAAAGTATGAATTTTTTATTCCAAAGCAGCTGCTGCTTTATCTCAATGATCATCTTTCATTTCCCTTCACTCTTTGTTGCTGAATCATTTCCACCACCGACACAACACAAGCAAGCATGGCTGCAATACCTACTCATGTGAAAGCTTGGACATACTCCGAATATGGTCCCTCCGCTGATGTTCTCAAGTTTAATCAGAGTGTGCCTTTACCTGAGTTGAAGCCTGATCAAGTACTCATCAAGGTTGCTGCTGTTTCCCTTAATCCTCTTGATTATAAGAGAATGGCTGGTGGTTTCAAGGACACTGATTCCCCTTTACCTGTAAGATTTTCATTCCCCACTTTTCCAAATTTGTTTAGATTCATTTGCCTTAAGAGTTTTTTTTTTTTTTTTTTTTTTTCTATTCTAATTACCTCTTCGAGTGAGATCCCAACGGCGATATCTCAACGAGCTTAACTCTTTGAGTGTTTGTTACGAGACTAATCCCAAAGTTGGGATTTAGTATCAATTAAAATTTTTCGCCCCTTCTAGTATATGTATTTGGTTATCATATATATGTATTTGGTGGAAATCGTTGCCATGTTTCAAGTACGTTTGGTAGAATATGAATTTTTTTATGCTCAAAATCATGATTTCCACTAATATGGTGGGAAAGTCACTCACCCCTAAATAATAGAAAGAAAATAATAGCAAAAAAACTGTTTGGTAGATCAAAATATTATTGAAATTTTATTCAAAAAAAAAAAAGTGGAATTTTTTTTCTAATACTTGGAATTCCAAGAATATCATCCCTTTGTGGTATTCTTGAATGATATTTTAGAAGAAAAATTGTACATAAAATAAAATCTAGGAAAAATCAGATTTCAGGAAAATTTTCAGAAACCAAATGTGGATAAATAAAATTACTATTATCACTTTCCCGGGAATATCACAAGATTTCCTCCTACCAAACCCCCTTAAATTTTTTAAAACAATGGTATTTTGACTTATTTCAAATTTTGTTCTTTTTATTTATATTTTTTTATTATATGATTTTGTCTATGAAGACTGTTCCTGGGTATGATGTTGCTGGAGTGGTGGTGAACGTGGGAAGCCAAGTGAAGAAATTTAAGGTTGGGGATGAAGTTTATGGTGATATCAATGAGAAAGCTTTGGAATATCCAAAGGTAATGGGTTCTTTGGCAGAGTATACTGCTGCTGAAGAGAAACTATTGGCTCACAAGCCACAGAATCTGAGCTTTGCTGAGGCTGCTAGCCTTCCTTTAACAATTGAGACTGCTTATGTAGGACTTGAGCTAGCTGGGTTTTCTGCTGGCAAATCTATCCTTGTTCTCGGAGGTGCTGGTGGAGTTGGAAGCCATGTTATTCAGGTATCACTATGACCTTGTATCACTATGTCACTAATTTTAAAATAAATATGCTATATGCTAACTGTTTTAGGTCTCTTATGGACCGGTCACAGAAGCCCAGTTTATTGATCAGCCTCTAAAAGGCTCATTTAAGGGCTTACATACCCGCATCCCTACACTGAGACAATTATGATCACCACACTGAATCTCACTCCTGCACACGCACACACATCATGAACCTTGCACACAATCCTCATGAACATGCCTCACACCTAGTGGGCCCACAAGGGCTTACGTAGTTATGGCTCCATCACACTCATCATTGAGAGGATTTTCCATCTATATATACTCCTCAATCTCTCATTAATATTGAGGAGGGAACTTTTGCACTCCAATTTTCTTTGTTTTGTTACTATTTCAAAATACAGTCATAAGAGCTACTACCGTGTCCTATACATTCTGCTTCAGTGGCTCTCCGGTTGAGCTTGGATCTATATCACTCTCCGATTGTGTTTGGGTCTATATCTCTGGCTCACTATATCATTGTCATATTGACATACTCCACACCCTTAGGGGGAAACAAATGCTAAATCCATCTCACAAACTGTTCAAGATCCATTAAGCATTTGGATGGCCTTGTACTGATAGTTGAGCTTTTTGTTTGTTCCATTCTTTTGATTGATAAAGTTCATTCCAAATGAACCCAAGTTACAGAACCCAACATCAACAACAATAAACCTTCTTCACGTTTGTTTTCTCCCTTTGAGTGGAATTTGCTGTTTATAATATATTTTTCCTGATTTCATGTTGCAGTACGAACACCTTGTATATATTCATCAACTTCAAATCTCTAAAGATTGAATACAGAACACAACCACTTTCTTTTGTCTCTGTCAAAATCAAAATTAATATTTCATACTAGTGATTATAATTTATAATAACTTTTTGGCGTAGCTTGCCAAGCATTTTTATGGTGCATCCAAGGTAGCAGCTACATCTAGCACTGGGAAACTTGAATTGTTGAGGAAATTGGGAGCTGACTCGCCTATTGATTATACAAAGGAGAATTTTGAAGACTTGCCTGAAAAGTTTGATGTGGTGTATGATGCAGTAGGTCAGATTTTGAACCTATATTCTGCTGAGGTTGGTAGCTTACCTTGTAGGACACTAACACTTGTTTTCTTAAAATAAAAAAACAGGGCAAACTGAGAGGGCATTCAAGGCTCTTAAAGAAGGAGGCAAAGTTGTGACAATAGTACCACCTGGATTTCCACCAGCTATATTTTTCATACTCACTTCTGATGGGTCTATCTTAGAGAAACTAAGATCCCACTTGGAGAGTGGAAAGGTGAAGCCAATACTCGACCCCAAGAGCCCCTTTCCATTTTCTCAGACAATTGAAGCATTTTCCTATCTGGAAACTAACAGAGCCACTGGAAAAGTAGTCATCCATCCCATATAATAAGCATTTTAGTTTCATTATAATCTATGCTGCTGTCTGTTTTTTTTTAAGGTTTGTGTTAAACAGTGATAATTGCTTTGGTAATTGTTCTCTATAGCCTAAAGGCTAAAGCTACGTTGTTTCTTTTGGAGGGAGAGTATGTAGTGGAACAAAAAATATCTTCCAAGCGTGGTTGCAATATGGTTTGATAAAAGTACTATGGTTGTCCAATTTAAATAAACTGCAGCAAGAGCTTGTTAATGTGACAGTCTTTGTATTTAGTCTTGGTCTGTGGTTGAAAGCCCGTTGTACATAACCTAGTATGGTTGAAGTTCTGGCGAATGAAATAATCATATGGTTAAGCTCTTAAGGAGTTTGCTTCATTATTTTATATCTTGGGCTAACAAAACTGTACCAAACATTCGGGGCGCGTAACTGAGGACTGGTTCAACACGAATGATTTTGGGTTGGGCTTTGATTATAATAGTCAATCTATTATACTATGTAACAGTCATTTGATTTAATAGTAGTATATGGTGCGAAAGAGGTATCATCTAAATAGAAAAATATTATAGCGCAGTTGGTAACATGTTTGATATTATTATTATTATTCCAAGATAAAATAAGAAACGAAGACTTTAATGATTTTGATATTGGTTTAGCATGTTTGACTTTATTGTAAAAAAAATTTCTCTGCCACATTCACATAAAAATGAGTGAATTTTACTAATTTTTTATTTTTATTCTTTTCATAATGGGATCCACTCATTTTTATGTGAGTGTGATAGAGAACAAATTTCTCTAGCAAAAGCATAAATGTTTTTCCCTTTTAATATAGAACAAACTATTCAAGGATTATTTGGAAAATAATTACTATTTTGGTACCATTTTCACTTGTATATTTGTGTGTAAATATTATTTAATTTAAAAATAAAATTGTGAAAAATTTATATTTTGTATAGAATATTATACAAAAGTGTCAAATGTGTATTTATTAAAATAATTTTAAATGCATTGAATCCGATAAAAGAAATAAATTTTTTTTAAATTATAATTTTGGATGGCTCGCTGGTTGGCCCTAACACATAATAAGGCTTTTGGCCTTACGTGCTTTATTATTGTGGGCCATTTGACCTTGCAGGCTTTTTTCCCCTAACCAAATAGGCTAGGGCCTAATGGGGCAAACTAACTCATTTTGACAGCTTTATAAATCAAGGGATTTCAACTACTTAGGAAAACTTCCTAAGTACTTTTCGATAAAGTATTTCATTAATAATAGGCCTATTTCCATCAATGAGCTTGTCAACAAAGTGAGAGGTGTAGGGTACAATGACTTTCTGAGGTGATATTTCAACAAAGTGACAATATGTGATTGAGTATGTAAAAAATCCTTTTTTGATGGTAGAAGATGGTATATATAAGTGGAAAAAAAAATCAATGATGAGTGAGAGAGGGAGACGTAACCATTTTGACTTTGTGGGTCCCACTAGGTGGGAGACAAACATCCTCACCTAGTACATGAAATGTATGTTCTTAGAGAGTGAAATTTCCTGTGATAAGGGTCTAAGTGTCTCACTTTATGAATGAAGGGGCATGACCCCTTATATGTGTCTTAGTATTTGGTCCAATGGACTAGACCTGTGTAACCGAACCATAACAATCGGGGTCTAAAAGGAGGCAAAATTCTTGCAACTGAGGCTGGAAAACATGTTAGTGGTCTAGTGTAAGGCGAAATTTAAGGAGTTTTCTGAGTTCTCCACTATGTATGAGATACAAATCAAATTGTTCTGGACCCATCAAATGGGCCCATAGCCCTCAATAACATTACACATAATAAATGGCTCATTAAAGAGAAAATGATAGCACCACATATCTTGTGCCTAAGGATAAATTTCTTATCCTATCTCCCAACAGTCTTACACTCATTACGATTCTACACCTACATGTAACCTACATATAAGTAAGGGGTTAATCCCTTACTTGGCCATAAATAGCCCAAAAAATGAGGCCTCATACTTAGCCTAGTTGTTGGAGGTAGGGAAGTCACAACAATGGGAGTGTTCCATAAACAGTCTTTTCGAGTTTTCAATAATAAGTCAAGTGCCATTGCTATTAAGGTTTGAGGACCAACTGACATGTATGGTGTATAGATCTTTTCCGTGAGAAAGTTTGCTAGAGCTTGGGCCTGGATATCATGTGGGGGTTGAAAGGTTATCTCATGTTCTAAGAGTTTTATGGACTAGGATATTATCCTGTTAGGCAAATCTAGTTTGTGCAAAACTTGTGGATTGGGTGGTTGGTCACCACTGTTATCAGGTTGCTTCAAAAATATTGTCACAATTTTGGAAGATTGTTAAGAACACAGAGAAAACTTTTCTAGCTTGTATAACCGACTTCGGTCTCCAATACTAAGAGATTACTTTCTTGAAGTTCCCAAGCTAGGTAGCTTCAAATGCAAGTTACCCCATAACTTATTCCAATCAGAAATGCCCAAATTCTTTTGGTCAAGGACCAAAAGCAATCCCAAAGCTTTAATCTTCAAAATACACGTCTGTGGGAGACAACCTACAATGATCACATATAGGATCATCAATCCACTTGTAAACTAAGTTAAAACATAACACCAATTCAAGCCCACAATTGCATTTAATCATAATTCAACATCATTTTTCCCAAAATACTTATCATGGTCGAATCCTACCCAATCCAAGGGCTAGAAATTTTTCTCACAAACCCAATGCATTACACACACATACAACCTATTTAAGCTTGAATGAAATCATCACAAACTCAATTGCACAAATTTTGCAACAATCCATCTTCACAAATTCATGCTCATCCAACCAAAATTTTCCTAAAATTCTGATATTTAACCATCACAATCTACGTGTCACTTCCAACAATATATCTTATGCCTTATTCTGATAAGTATAGCCCAAGATATGTCCGCCGTAAGTAGTAAACTGAAAACCCAACGTCACTAGAACAAGGTCTCAGACTATTTGTTTATTCTGGAACGATATGCTACCCTATTTATTCTGTAATTTTTATGACAGATACTAGACATCTTAATCTTTAATTTGACATAAGAATTGTCCCGTTTTGTTAAGTAACAAAGGAGATATGAATTTCGCAAACTCACTGTTGCTTGTTGAAAAACTGAAACAACAACGACAAATGCCCACTAGTTCTTTTTGAAAACTGTAACGCGAGCTCATAAAATTCTCATATTTTAAGACAAGAAATTAGACATCCTAGGCTTCAGTCTGGTACCTCACACACTCCATTTGGTTAAGAAATGAGTGAGATATTATTTTTCTAAAACTGAACTCACTACTACGTAAATTCTGTTAGCACCATCAACTCTACTTCCATACATTTTTACACTAAATTTTCCAAGCAATTTAAACTTTGTTATCTCATCTACATATAACTTAACATACTTTAATCTTCATGACAAATCATTAGAGTAATCTCAATTCCTATTTAAAGCCCTATGGCTAAAATATCATAAAGAGAGCAACACATGAATTTATTCAACTTCTCTCAATAAACATTGAATTAATCAATTCTAATACTTCATTAACTTATCAAAACATCTTCTTAGCCTTATAAAATCACTTTCCTAAACCTTATACCATCATGGGCTGAACCTCCCCTAATCAAGTTTCATAGAAATCTTAAAACAAACAACCTTTTTAATCACTTAAACCATCAATTTGTCATCTCAATTTCATGTATTTTACTTAGGAAATATTACAAACACATGACATGCATATTAAAGCACACATAGTCCGAATTGTATGGTGTTTCATAAGCCATCCATTTTCAGATTTTTAATCCACTTATAGTGTTCTTTCAACAACAATCAACCAACCCAACATAATCCATAGAAAATCCCAACATAAAATATCACATAGTCTTCAAGAAAACTTAAAGAAAGGACATGAAATCTATATTTCCAGCTCATATAAACAGCCCACAAGATGATATTTTCTTACCTTAATCACTTCACAAGATGCTAGAGATTATTCTCCAACAAGTAGGCAAACAAAAGCTCCCTCCAAACTCACTTGACAGCTTTGGGGCGCTGGACAAAGGAGAGGATTTCTCTCAACTTCAAGCTTCTTCTACGACTTGATTCTTTTTTCTAAGATCCTTCCCTACAACTTCCATGAAGAACTCTAAGCCTAAAAACAAGTATTTGATGGAGTAGAGTTCATCTAAAAACCCTAACTTACTCATTTGTTTCATCTAAAAACTTCCTTAAATTTCATAGCTTAACTTAATATACATCAATAAATTAAGTTACATGAAAAACACATGCATCTAAAATAAATATATATCTCACTAAGTTAGATTTTATTTTATAATTAATTACTTTTACAAGTAATATTTCTTATTTGCTTTTCTAATTATTTTCATATACAACATCTTAACTTATTTTCTATAGATTCATCCTTACATCTTCTATTTAATTTACAACCACTATAAATCTATAAATTTTCCATACTATTATTTAAATTCTTAAAATTATAATTAAACTTCATTTGTCAAATTATTAAAATAATATTAATCATTTTCTATTTAAACATATACTTATTAAAATCCTCTAATTCTTATCATAAATTATTAACTGACCTGCTTGGCATGAGAGGCATTCTTATTTATAACATCATGTTTCTAACATGATTTACTTATTAATATCCATATAAAAGACTTTCTTTTTCAAATAGCTGATTTAATTTAATATTCATATGGCATTTTAAAATCTTAAAGGTATGGGTTATTATAAGTAGCTGGAAGAAGATGGATTATTAGGTTAAGTTAAATAGGAAACATATTAATGTCATTATCCTTATGGTCAGTTGTTGACTTGTTCTTTTATGTTTCGGGCTATCCATTTTGATGACCACCATTCATTTATGAAAGTTTGATTTGATCCCTATGTTTTCATAGTATGAATCTAAGGAATTTCACACAATTGATTCTCCAAATGAACACTTGAGGAAGTTTAGCCATATGTTTTGTGTTGGAGGACTTCCGCTAAATCTCATATGTAGTTTCTTCCTTCTGGGATTTTAATAGCCATGTCTTCTATGGTCACGTCCATCATTCATTCCCTTTGGCTGTCTAAGAATTTAATCATTAAGCATTGATAAGTTGGCTTGATGTTCTGGAGCCCGATTTGCATTATCTCCCTTATTATGATAAATGTTATTTTTTCTTGATCTCCCTTAAACAAAGTGTCAAGTTGTAGCCAAAACATTCATCTATGAATAAAAGGAGTTAAAATTTTGAGGAGTTATCCACTAGACAATTAGTGTTGGGGAAGGTATATGAGTCCTTT